TGCAGAGTTGATATACGAAGTAAATACTGCATGGATGGTTAGATCCCGCTGACTTGCCCAACTTGGAATAGTCCGCCCGTAGGTGAACGGATATCTAGTGTGTCGGTAGTAATGTACTGGATGGAGCAGGCAGATTAGCGAGACCTACGAGGCAGCCGGGTAGATGCGAACCGTACGGTATCAGCTATTGACCCCATCACGGTTGCCGATTGATTTTGAACTCGATTAAGTAGAGAACGCTTGAGGGAACTGCGTTTTTTCCATGGTACTGGCCCTAAAACAATTGGAGTTCATTGGAGTGGTAGAGAGCAGATATGAAATCCTTCATCACATCCCGTTCAGAGCAACGAATAGGCGAAACGTTGCGAGGCAGTGTTCCGTAGGAGACTATAACGGTCGCAGTGAAAACAGCAAGATATTTGCACACTCAGTAGATAATAGTCTAACACAGCCGTTTGAAATTTTCCTCACTTTGTGCGTTAATAATCAACGTATGCAAACTGTTCCAATCCATTATTACACGAATGGATAGGGTGAGATCGGAATGGATCTCCCCTCGCAGTATCCGTCTCGTGTAAACCAGATCATCACGACGTCGACGGTAGTCCAAGGAAAACATGTTTATCTGGCCAAGACGTTGAGTGTAAGATAGGCTCCGGAGCGCTGAGATGGATTTCGATCCGCGTCGTTGAACTTTCGCAACCAGTCCAGTCTTCGTAAAGGGATAGTCCGCAGGTGAACCGTACTCGAGCGTAGAGCGCACATGGGAAGTAAAAAGGAGTCTGAAGACCCTTGCGTTCCTGCCCAACTACTCCTAAGAAAAAATAGAGTCGAGTCTCATCTGTTTCAGCTCCGGAACCATTGACGACGGTTGTGCAGCGTAGCCCATGTGAGCCAAGAACATATGCCGCCGTAATGAGTCAAAATGCTGTCAACAAAGAGACTGAGTGCATCTGGGCGCAAGGTCTAAGCGAAAAAGAATCACAAGCCTACAACGCAACTTAACCTCCAAGTTCTTAACTAAAGATGGTGCTTAACAAGATGAGACAACTAGAAGACTTAGTCAAAGCATACCCAAAATCACAACCCTCGCCAGTTTTGGAGGGAAGCAAATTTCATCTTCGTGAGAGGTGTCTGATCATTGTGAACGCACGCGAAGCTAACAAGGAAACGCCGGCCGAGAGGATAGTGAATGACCAACTTTTTCTAAAGGGGATGATTTCTTTACTGTTCAACAAAGGGGAACAGGGGATCAATGTTGTCTCTGGCTTTCGCCTTGGGCGAAAGCAAGGTGCGTCCGCTGAAAATCGTTTGCCAAAATGTAGAATGTCGTCGCATCCTCAGGTGCCTTAAGGGCGGAACATTCCATGTCTTGAGGGATCTCTGCCCTGAAAACCGAGTGAAGATGAAGAACGCCGTTGATGAAATGCGGACCCGCTGAGCCAATGGCGAAGCTAATCTCCGTATTGTGGATTTCCGTGTAGTTTAATGGACTCCGAAAGCTCCATGGCGTCGTCTTTGTAGCACCCGGGCTCTAGGGTATAAATTGGGGTTGCGTGCGGTGCCGCCAATGTGCGAAGCCTGAGAAATAAAATGGATGAGTTTCGTCTCCTCACTTTACAGTGTCACCCTGACATGATAGCTCTTACTGAGACGTGGCTGTCCCTGGATACTCTGAATTCTACAATACGCCTTCCTGATTCTCAGTTTTATCGGACTGATCGTCTTGGTACGAGATCTGGAGGGGCGTCATATTCTACTGGAAGTCCGAGTTGAGGGTTCATACTGTAGAGGCTGTTTGTGATCCAGTTTGTGGTTCGGAGATACTTTGGTGTCGTGTCCATGATGGACACAACTCGCTCATGGTTTGTGTTGTCTAGAGACCCCCAATGGCCTCCGGAACCCGAGTGTTAGACCCGATCAAAATGGACGGCAGGGGTAAGGATTGCCTAATTATAGGAGATTTTAATGCCCCCAACGTCAACTGGGAATTACTTCACTGTGATTTCGCCCCAGAATTCGTCGAGGCTGTTCTACTGGAAACTGTCCTCGATGTGGGTCTAAGACTAAATGTCTCGTCACCTGCTCGGATAATACCGGGGCAAACGCCGCACATCCTCGACCTCGTGTTCACGCGCCAACCATCCGATGTATCTGATTTAAAGATTCTCCAGCCACTTGGGTCAAGTGATAAATGTGTGCCATTCCATACTATGGACAAGACGACCCACCCTTCACCACCGGGGCATACTTCGCCGCAACTTCTGGCGCGCCGATTTACTCCGCCTACAAAGGGCTGCAAGTGTTATGGACTGGAGTACTCCCCAGAAGTTGAATCTCGATACCGCTTGGAACCTCCTTCGCTTAAAATTGCTTTCTATTGTGGACGAAGTTGTAACAACCGTTGCTGACAGACCTTTCTCTAAAGGCCCTCCTTGGATTGATAGAGAGCTGAGAACCCTGCTGCATAGAAGACGAAAACTGTGGAGCAGATTCCAGTTATCACAGTTGGCGTCTGACTATGATGATTACAAATTGCTCAGAAATTTGTGTATACTGGCAAAACGCGAGAAGCGGGAACAGTATGAGCGTCGCCTGGCTGAGCAATCTTGTAGTGACCCGAAAAAGCTCTTCTCGTACCTGAGAAGAAGTACTAAGGCGGGCTGTGGCATTTATGCTTTGTATTCGCGTGAAGATGAGACTATACTTCATCACGATGCAGCGAAAGCCTGTCTTCCTGCTTCGCAATATTCACCAGTATTCGGCTGAAGCCCAGGTAATATGTGCCCACGCATCCCACTCCCTTGGAGCACATAGAAATTACCAAGAACATGGTGCTGGGAATGCTTCTCGAGTTGGACCCGAACTCTACGCCATGCGCTGATGAGTATGTCGCTGAGCCAATCTGCCAACTGTTTCGTCACTCCCTGGAGGCTGGACGCCTTCCGCTTGAGTGGAAAGGTATTGTGAAGCCAATCCACAAAGGAGGAAACCGAGAGGATCCTGCGAATTATAGACCGATCTGTCTGACGACGACCATTTGTAAGACAATGGAAGGATTTGTAAAAGAGCCCTTCAGCTTCGTCTCGTGACACTGGACATCACTACTCCTGCTCAGCACAGTTTCCGGAGTGCAAGCTTTTGTGTCACTAACCTACTTGTTACCCGCGAGAAGTGGATTCCGGTAACCGTCTAGATGCTGTTTTTGTTAATTCCAGCAAAGCATTTGATAGGGTTCCACACGAACGGCTCCTTATCAAGCTCCGGAAGATTGGCATCGCTGGCATGGTTCTCTCCTGGATCCCTGGTTGCTTGGATGGTCGTACTATGAGGGTGAAGGTTAATGAGGTTCTTTCTGGGCTTGTGCTCATGACCAGTGGGGTTCCACAGGGCTCCGTCCTTGGTCCCGAACCTTGTAAAATCTTCATCAACGACGTCGAAAGGTGCTTTAAACTGACTGTTTGATCTACGCTGATGATCACAAACTATGGTCAGAAGTATCTAGGCTCAAAAATTCGGACAAATTACAACTAACGCTTGATCTGCTGCACGACTGGCAGTTACGAGTCAAGCATAACAAATGATGTGTTCTTCCAGTCGTTTCTCCAGAACCTTTCGGCACCTACCACATTGGTGGTTTCCTGCAGAGCAATGTGGCTTTCGAGAAGCACTTGAGTGTGATGGTATCCCCTAACTTGGCAACCATCCCGGTTACGTTGCGGAAAGTCGCCTCCGCCAACAGGGCACTTTGCGATATACGGAGGTCATTTTCAAAAATGACGCCTATCTTCAAGCTCCTGTTGCCTTCTCACGTTCGCCGAATATTGGAATATGGATTACCCGCTTTGCATCGTCTCACAAAATTTGAGCGCGCTTTAAGGGAGAAGGTTCAACGGTGTGGATCCAAGTCTGTATCAGTGCTGCGTGATTTGTCATACCCCTTTGACTTTAGCGAATGAAGTCGTTCTCTATGGACTGACAGACACCAGATGCATCCTAAAGAGACTTGAGGACGAAGGAGAAAGAGTTCTTCCAACTCAATGTAGATAACTAGTCACGGGGTCACAGTTGGAAACTGTTTAAACCGCGGAGGTACCGCGTTCGCTCTGACGTCACGTTATCTACCCGGGCCGTGAATCAATGGAACAACCACCCGGATTACGTTGTCAGTGCCCATTTAGAGGAACGTTTCAAGCAGCGGTTGAATAACTACATGTTGAGAACGTCTTGATTCCCCTGTTTTTGCTGCAGCTGTGCTGATCCGTCAGTGAACACAGGTTAGCAAGGACACGCGTCATCCAGCCAGTGAATGGGGGTGAAGGAGCTGACACAGGTATTTTCCCTTCTGCTCTCTACAATACCATGAAACTGTTATACGAAAAAACGATCTAATGGAACAGAACATCACGATGACAGCCGCTAGCTTCCCAGGGTTTTCTGAGTATTGCGCAGATTGGGAGACACGAGCATGCCAAGGTCCATCACACAGGCAGCACTCCTGATCAAGAAACTACCAATGTGATAGGCACCAAGTGGATCAGAAGCACCAATTGGCAGGACGGAGCACTTTTCACGGTAGATGGGTAATCACCATTTTAATGACCAGCGATGCAAGTGGTCAAGCGTCGCTTGCAATCGGTCAGCGTCTTCGGGAGTTGTTACAATCATATCATCAGTTCGTCAGCATAAAGCCATCGATTTAGTGTTCCGGTGGAAGGTCACCAATGAATATTTTAAGTATGAAAACGGGCTATCCTGCATTTATCCCCTGCTTGGAACCAATAAACGAGGGGTCCATAAAGGAGAGACAACTACGACAGTAGGATGGGTAAAAAAGGAAGAGAAAAAACGAGGAGAAAAGTTAAACACTGGATGGGATACACAATTTCTGACATCGCAACTGAAACGTAGCAGGGAATGAGGAGTTAACTGATAGAAACACAGTGATTGATGGCGACAAGAAGCTAGACAGCAGTGGATGGATAAAATCCTCAACTTACCTTAGGAAGTGGTTGTGAGTATCATGTGGACACTCACCAGAAGGCTCGATCTGGTCAAAGGAACTGTCGATCTCCTCGACTGGACGAATAATACCAGTCTGGAACATGTCGCGCAACCTTGAGACACGGGACAATCTATAAAATGTCATCAATACGCAAAGTACTGTGTAACCTTCTGTTGAAGCATCCAGCAATTTCATCCTTGTCGCTCGATAAATTGATCGAAACGTCCTCAACCATTTTGCTAGGAAGAAGAACATCAACTCGAGGAACAGCTCGTTCTACAGCACTCATCGAAATAGGCAAAAAAAACGAGACAGGTTAGACGAGACCGAGCTCCTGAACGGCAATTTTAACCGTGGAACTACCCGGTACCGCGAAGCCATTTATAGGAATGACGCCTCCCATTCACCATCCATATGCGGTTCTGTTCACTTGGTTACCTTATTTTGCATGGCGAAGCAAAAAAAGACGCTTGTGATTGTACGCAAAGGTATTTTCTTCGATACTTGTGCAGATTTTGCAATACACATAGAGCCTGACATTTTGCTGTCGATGTTCTCCTTGGAATTTAATCATCGTCATTTTGCACCGCCAACTGAACATTTCGTACTTTTTGTATCTTTGTTGCCATTTGTTTTTCTGAACCAGCATCAAGGTCTATATGGTCATACTCGTCAAACTTTTGAACATCTTACGGATGAACTTAGTAGCGGGGAATTCTTCTACCCCGCGAACGTTGGGATGCGCGCGGAACATTAGCAGATTGCAGGTATTCAAACTTAAAATTGTTCTACCATGGATTTCAGTGGAACAGCAAGATATAAACAAAGTTATACGACAACTGGTAATAAACTATCCCTTTAAACCACCTAAGCCAGGAAGATGCGGGACCTTAAGTGCTTATTCCGCGGCAGCCTACATAGGTAATGGAGTGCACCTTAGCACTATGCAAGCTTGCAAAGTTTGAAAGAGCACCAAATGAAGGAAAGCCAGCAAGCAGCTAAATCTGGTCAGCAATGTGGAGCAGTGGTCAACCGTATGGTTCTTTCCCACCCTGGAATAAGGTGTTAAAATGAAGTTAAAAGTGCGGCGAAGCCTTCCTAGAGGTATTCAAACGCATCAAAAATGTTCAAATTTAACCTAAATGTCATCCTTACACATGGGCTATCGCAATGTTTTCTGTATTGTGCGGATCTTATTAGATCTACCGCCGCAGCGGGTACAAAAACGGTGCACCCAGAATGCACACCCTAGCCGCAAGGATAACACGCGCTCGCGGGTCATTAGGCTACCGTCGGGCTAGCCGTACTCTTTGAAATATGCCCGTCAAGGCAACCTCAAAGCAACGACTTCAAAAATCAAGGAGCTCCTCATAATTTTCTGAGTCCCTATGGGTTACCAAAGCTACTTGACACGATTCCAGGATTAATTTTCCAAAGTATGCTTAATGTGAACGCATTAGGCGGTAGAATATTTGTACACCATGAAAAACATTGTGCTCCGTTGGTACGCTAATAGCCAGAACTTAAATTCAAAGTAATGCGCACAGGTGGTGGACAATATTTTTACTACGCGTGAACATTTGAATGCGCGCGGTGGAGTAAAAATGGTGGAAATTTTAGTTGCTATATTGGTTAGCTTGGTTTCAGCCTAACAGTATCGATGCTTTTAGGTTCATGCTGTTCAGAAAGCAAAATACGCAAAACTTGCGTGTCGGCAGGAAAATGGTTGCTCGGTGTTTGTTTCCACATTTCAGGATACATTCTGCAGTAGTATTAGAGATAACCCAAGCTCCTTAACACCAAATAAAATGCGACAACTGGAGTGATGTGCGTGAGCTGCAATTAGGACTAACTTTAGGGCATCACAGTCTATTCCGCTTGCCGCTGGAGGCTCACGTAAAAATCGAAATTAGAAATGTGAACCAAATAATTATGTTTTTCGGCTGACCACCAGTTCATGATGCAACAGCGTGCGGCACCCTAGCTGGCAGGTCATGGGTACCTCACTTAAGTATTTCGAATTGGCGAGAGAGTCAGTGAGTCTAGTGCAGCCACTTTTACTTGGTTCACACCACGGAAGCGCCCTTTATATTTCTAAGTTGGCCTTTAAGTGAGGATATCTGGACACTGTTAGCGTACTTCAACTCCGACCAAACTCTACCTGGTACCAGCTGGGTGGTTCGGGTTAACCCAGCTCTATCTAGTAGTTCGGCAGCAGTATTCCAGGTCGTTGTGGGTTTGCTTATAGGAAGCGTTCCGATTAAAAGCCACAAATGTCTGCTTAACAACACTGTGACGTAGCGGATACGACTCGCTACTGAATAAAGCCACGGCTTTGCCCTACCAAAGGAGCTTACCCACTTCAAGAAAATCCAGTCCAAAGGTTTCACCTCCATTCCTATATTGGCGAAGTCGCCGAAACAACTCACAACTTTTACAGTAATAGTAACAAATTCAATCAGCATGATGACTTACGCTTGAGCCCACATAATTACTACACATGCATACACACTTGCAAAATTTCAGTACCATTAAGGTGAGTACGGGTTTGTAGTATCATTAGCATACTTTTTATGGCGTCTCTCGCACCGTCCAGAATACACTAATTATTTAGTTAGTCCTTAAGGCAGTTAACTTGCACCAACTGGCTGGCCGAACAAACTCCTCGTGGTGCCAACTGGGTGGTTCAGATCTAACCCGTTCCAACAAATAGGTCGACGGTAGCGTTTTAGGACCTCGTGAGTTTTCGCTTGGCAAGCGCTCCCCTATAATAAGCCACAAATATCCGTTTATCTAAACTAGGATTGGAGAATAGGACTCGCCACAAGCTAAAGTCACTGCCTCCTGGATATCAGGGTAATTATATCCAATCCAGGGCCATCCGTCGTATGTTCATATCTAGTGAGATTTTCAAACTCTCAGATCCAACAGCACACTTACAAGCACAAGCTACAAAGCTACAATTATACACTATTACATACACATCCATACACACTTACTGTACGGGCACACATGTTATATTTTGGTACATTTTGTTCACAGTTTGTTATCATGACCTGAGCTTGCCTGTAAAAAGTTGCCTCGCGTTTTCGATTAGAAAACGTTTTCCGTTTTTTATAGTTCTTATTCTAAGGTAGCCTGTTTAATTGGCAACTAAGATGCAGAAATGGTGTTAGAAAGTTGTATTTGGATCCCACCACAAAACCCACTTAGTAATTGCCCTGTTGGTATATCTACAATTGGATGTTGGGAAACAGTAGGCCTAACGCAACCTCTGTTTAGCCCGTTTGCACGTCAAAAGCCACATGTTCCATGCCCAATATCGAGAGTTAAACAACCAACAGTTATACACTAAGCTTAGTGCAAACTATGTAGTTGCTGTGTACTTTCAAACGCATATGTTCCCAGTGCAGTCCAGGTTCTCACATTCACTTATTCCAGAGCAGCTTCTGCTGCGTAGTTAACCCGGCTTTTACCCTCACTGTTTCCTGCGTCCATCTTGCTTGCTTTTGACAAGTTAGTTTTCTACCATCGAATGGATCACCTAGGTTATTGAAGCGCCTTTGCATCAGCTTGTTCTACAATTGCGGGTTCCAAGGTTGACTCTCTGCTCTTTCTTCACACTTCGATCGCCACAAGTCGTTGAACCATCTTTCTTCCTGCACATTAGTCCCACTGTTGCACTCTGGAATATCGACTAGGCATTTTACAATATTTGGCTGACACGTCAAAAAAGATACTCCCAGTCTTCATATACTGTCCCCACTCCACCTACTGTGTATTTTTACTTAGGTTACGCACAAATGCAACCATTTTATCGGTTTTCCACTGATGACTTTGATCTTCATGCGTGCATCGGCTGTTACTGCAAACTGTACAACTTTTGGCAACAGCCAATTAGTGCCTTGTAAAGTATCGGTTGCGCCACATAATCTCTCATAAATGTTGAGCATACCTGAGTTGGTTTGCTTCGGTGCATTCGAGAATAAAATAGTTATTTATTTATTTATTTAACTAATACCTCCTTGGCTGGTTACCGGAACCATGCTATAGATCTTCATTCACATCATAGTAATTTACTTATTGAGCCATGCTTTTTGTTGCATAAGCAAGCAATATTTACAGGGTAATATCCTTTACATATTGTACATCATTATCTCTAGACTAAATGTCTTAAGGTAGGATTTTCACACTGTTTGGTTTCATGATGGTCATTTTCGCTCTTCTCTCAACCTGTTCCTTTCTCCCATTTCTCCGAGATCGATCCGGGGTTATACTGAAGAACTGCCTCCGACTGAGATGGGACGAAATAACCAACAAGGACTCACCTGGATCATGGCCATATTCCAAAGCCAACCAAGTGCACCCAACACGACTGATGTCCAGTGAGGAGAACTAGACACGAATTCCTCACAAACCAACAAGTATACATTATCATAGAAAGTGCGATCCTAGATCCTCTGGTAAGTTGGCTTACCTGCCCAAGTATTCATCCTGCTCGATTGGCTTCAACCTCGATGGTGAGCCCTGAATGAGCTATCTGATCAGCTACCAGAGTGATTATCCGACGGCGAATAACAGTGTAAAATGGTTGATAAGGGGCGCTGCCAGCTGTACATGACTGTATAAATCAATCGATTACAGTGTTCCAGGACTTGGAGGCTTCCGGCTGGCAAGCGTTCCCCCTATAAAAAGCCGCAAAAGTCCATTCATCAACACTGCGATGTGGAGGATGTGACTGGCAATTGGGTATTCACTGCCCACAAGTCCATTCTGGCATCTTAACTAAAGAAAATTTTTCTTAATTTTTACACGTACAAAAAGATACTCTCAGTCTTCGCAAACTGTCATCACTTTACCTACTGTGCTTTTCCTGTTCACTTTAAGCAAACATGGATCCAGTTCACTGTCGCAACACTGACGTATTTGCTCGCCATGAGTACTCCTTGCGTTTCTGCAACTTGTACAAATTTTAGCTAGGGCCAATAACCTGCATCCTAACGAAACTGTTGAGCAACATAATTGCGTTAAATTTTGCGAATGCCTGAGTTGGTGTGCCCCGATGGATTCGGAAAAACACCATTTATTTATTTATGGTTACGAAGGTATACTGTGAGTCTACTAGAACCTCGATGTACTTGATCTTTTCCACAAACCGCACAAGTGTTGTTTTATTCAGACGACTGAAGGAAACTGCGAACAGGTAGTTAGCCTAACGGAAACTCTCTCTATTTGGTCAAGCTAGCCAAACAACGACTGGCTAGCGGAAAAACAGCTTGGTTGTGCTAG